TAAAACTCCACGAGAATGTAACAAATTCTGCAAGGGATAACTGCACATTTAGACTGGCCACACATTAGTTTTTTTTTTTGTTCAACCAGTGGGCTGAATGGAAAAAAAAATCCCCCCCCCCCCCCCCCCCCAAAAAAAAAAAAAAAAACACACCCAATTCCCCCATCTACACATTCAGTGTGAATGAGTGTTTCCTCCCCAGTGTGTATTTGTATTCTGATAGTAGGGAGACTTCACTGCCATCAGAATACTCTGATCAGCACAGCAGCCTATTGCCTGCTGCACAGATCGAGTGAAAAATACTGGCAGTAGCAACACATGGATCGAAATGTAGCCGGTCCCTGCTAAACCATCCAAATTTTGATCCATATATGGCTAGCTTTAGTCTACGGGCAGAGGATTATTATAGGCACCATTCAGATTTGTGTTTTGCCACACTGGGAATTTCAGTGGCAAGAATCCTCCAATTCATGCTACTGGGATTGATAGCTATGGGCTGAAAGCAGGCCCACCAACCCGGTACAATGCAATGACTGGCTGTTGGCAGCCACAGTGATTCGCACATATAGTACGTCCAGCCATCATCACTGCTTGCATCTGCTGGCTATGTGAACATGCACAAATAATTGTGGCTCCCAAAAGCTTATCACTGCAGTGTACATGCTCGGCAGCCATTGCTATCTGCATGCAGCTGTCAATCCCAGTGGCAGGAATAAGTAGGTTCTTGTCGCTATGATGGGTAGCGTGGCAAAACACTTGCAAATGGTACTTTATCCCTCGCTCCAACCGGCTCCCATCAGCTCTGAAACTAGTCACTAAGCAGCAGTTCTGTAACCTGTGACTGGCTCCAGTTGCGAAATAAACCCCCTATTTTAATATGAACTATTAAACGTGGTTAATTTGGTTTGTTGCAGGCTGGCAGGTAAGTGAGCCGGGAATTTTTATTTGTTGTTTTTTTGACAAGCGCCACCCTTTCACATGCTCCTTGCTGCATAGGCCAGTTATAGGTTGGGGTGGTTGCCATTTGTTTGCACTGTTGGTGAATTGGTAAGGGGATAAACTGGATACCTTTGCTCCCATTGTGCTATTGCTGGGTGTCCAGTGCATCCCTATACCTTGAAGGAGGGGTGGGCTCCCTCCAGGCATACCTGTCCTCAAATTATCAATTAACCATTTGCCTAACTTCAGCGTGTTACACACATCCATAAAATCTCCTCTGTACACAAGCCATCTCCTGAACGTCCAGGAGACAGCCTGCAGTTTCCCCTCCCTCCTGCTCCCTCCCATGCACATCCCTGTGAAACCTGGTGTTTGTAGAAAGAGGAGATCCCAATCCTATTATTCGCAACTAATCTGAAGTCTTCCTCATTGAATGATCACTGTGACAGCCAATTACAATGATCATTCAGTGTAACATTTATAAACAATAACAAAAGTAACACAGTAGTGTCTTATCTCCTCAGTTCCCTGACAGCTATCTGTGAGAGAGATGCAACTAACACAGAAGAATGTTTAATGTGTGCACATAGAATTCGTTAACCCTTAACCCATACATGCCCTTATTTAATCTTTAACTATTTAACCCATTCATCTCAGTAGATCACCCTGTATAAGCACTATTTAACAGTTTGATTTCCTGTTCCATGTTTCCTTTAAAAAAAAAAAAAATATATAGAACACTTAAAAAAAAAAAAAAAAATAATATGTGATTTTGGGGATATACAGTCATGGCCGAAATTGTTGGCACCCTTGATATTTCTCCAGGAAATCATGTATTTCTCACGAAACGTATTGCATTAACACATGTTTTGCTATACACATGTTTATTCCCTTTGTGTGTATTGGGACAAAACAAAAAAAGGGAGGAAAGAAAGCAAATTCGACATAATGTCACACAAACCTCAAAAAATGGGCTGGACAAAAGTATTGGCACCCCCTTTCACAACTGCGGATAAATAAGAATGTTACAAGCATGTGATGCTCCTGTAAACTCACCTGGGGCAAGTAACAGGTGTGGGCAATATAGAAATCACACCTGAAAGCAGATAAAAAGGAGAGACGTTCACTTAACCTTTGCATTGTGTGTCTGTCTGTGCCACACTAAGCATGGACAACAGAAAGAGGAGACGAGAACTGTCTGAGGACCTGAGAACCAAAATTGTGGCAAAATATCAACAATCTCAAGGTTACAAGTCCATCTCCAGAGAAACTAGATTTGCCTTTGTCCACAGTGCGCAACATTATCAAGAAGTTTGCAACCCATGGCACTGTAGCTAATCTCCCTGGTCGTGGACGGATGAGGAAAATTGATGAAAGATTGCAACGCAGAATAGTCCGGATGGTGGATAAGCAGCCCCAAACATGTTCCAAAGACATTCAAGCTGTCCTGCAGGCTCAGGGAGCATCAGTGTCAGCGCGAACTATCCGTCGACATTTAAATGAAATGAAACGCTATGGCAGGAGACCCAGGAGGACCCCACTGCTGACACAGAGACATAAAAAAGCAAGACTACAGTTTGCCAAAATGTACTTGAGTAAGCCAAAAGCCTTCTGGGAAAACGTCTTGTGGACAGATGAGACCAAGATAGAGCTTTTCGGTAAAGCACATCATTCTACTGTTTACCGAAAACGGAATGAGGCCTACAAAGAACAAAACACAGTACCTACGGTAAAATATGGTGGAGGTTCAATGATGTTTTGGGGTTGTTTTGCTGCCTCTGGCACTGGGTGCCTTGACTGTGTGCAAGGCATCATGAAATCTGAGGATTACCAAAGGATTTTGGGTCGCACTGTAGGGCCCAGTGTCAGAAAGCTGGGTTTGCGTCCAAGATCCTGGGTCTTCCAGCAGGACAATGACCCCAAACATACGTCAAAAAGCACTCAGAAATGGATGCAAAGAAGCGCTGGAGAGTTCTGAAGTGGCCAGCAATGAGCCCAGATCTAAATCCCATTGAACACCTGTGGAGAGATCTTAAAATTGCTGTTGGGAAAAGGTGTCCTTCCAATAAGAGAGACCTGGAGCTGTTTGCAAAGGAAGAGTGGTCCAAAATTCCGGGTGAGAGGTGTCAGAAGCTTATTGATGGTTATAGGAAGCGACTGATTTCAGTTATGTTTTCCAAAGGGTGTGCAACCAAATATTAAGTTAAGGGTGCCAATACTTTTGTCCAGCCCATTTTTGGGGTTTTGTGTGACATTATGTCATATTTGCTTTTCTGCCTCTGTTTTATATTTGTTCCAATACATACAAAGGGAATAAACATGTGTATAGCAAAACATGTGTTAATGCAATACCTTTTTTGTGTGAAATACTTGATTTTCAGGAAAAATATCAAGGGTGCCAACAATTTCGGCCATGACTGTATGTTGTATTTTAATTCAGTAACAACTTTCAATTACCAATGCACTATGAGAAATATGAAATATATGCAAAATGTAAACAAAAACAAAAAAAAACCACAACTATTTATTTTGTAAATAGATTTAACATGCTTTGTACCAAAAACGTAACTTTTAGTGTAGCAGTAAATAGAACAAGCAGCAGAATAAAATGTATCCATTTCCCTATAGTAATGGTACTTTGTCTTCAAAATATTGCTGATCAAACTTGAAAAAAAATCCATGTTTTCAAATATTTACTAATTTGTCCCCTTAAAATGCAAATAAATTTAAAATAAACATTCTCAGAAGACCTTAGGATCAAAACAAAGCCCCATTTGTCCCCCAAAAAACATATGTATCAATTTTGTATCACATGTAATTACAAAGTTATACGCTCATGAATAGACACAGTGGAAATGTGAAAATATGGTCTGATCTATAGGGGGTAAACAGATGAGAGCTGAAGCGGTTAATATAAAATGTGCTCCAACTTTGGAGACTCTCAAAATGTATATCATTATGACTGCAGTACACTGGGGTGCCATGGACGTGGCCTCTGCAAATGTGTGCAAACGAAACCCCACTGTAAGCTGTGACTGGTTCCAGTTGCACTCCAGCCTCTACGACATACAAGGTTAATGTCTTGTACTTGGACACCGAGGCTCCGCCCAAAGATTGGAGCTTCCATTGGAGGAGAAGAGTACTGAGCGAGGAAACAGGAACGTGAAAGGGGCACTTGTAAAACCCCTAGACTCTGCTGGAGAAAGCACTGCAAGGGTGGAATTCTTAATTTTCCTGGAGCTGGGTTTTAATGCATCACACCAAAGAGGTGTGAATGTACTCCAAGGTATGAAGCACAATATATTTTCTCTCTTTTTTAATGGGGTCTGGTATGTAATAAGACAGAACCGCATACCACATGACAGAACAGTCTTCATTTTCAACTTGTCAAATATTTGACAGACTACAAACACAAATCCCAATAAAAAAAAAAAAAAAAAAAAAAAAAAAAAAAAAAAAAAAAAAAAAGGAAAAGGAAAGTAGTACCTAATCTCACCAGCAGGTGATTTTGTACAGGGTAACGCAACAAAAGCAAACATTAGGTTTTTTCTATCTTTAATGTTGAAATGTAGGCAAACAATTGCATACACAGATGGCATACATACATGTATTCATTCATATATATAGCTGTTTTACCTACCAAAAGAATTTTTATTTCTATTCAATCCCAAGATTTACACAATTCTGCCACACATTACAGCCCAGTCTGACAGGGAAGGATGCCTGATTTTTCTCTGCTGCAGTTAAGCAAAACTAACAGTAACAATTTTTCTTTCTGCCCCAACCTGTGACTGGACAGTGAAAAGAGAAGCAGCAAACTGATGAGATAATATCTCTATCACTGCTTTCTGCTCCTATCAACATGCTGCTTGCTAGTTACATGACCCTGCAGCACAATGAGTGTTCAGGGGCTCCAAGAGGATGATACAAGGTCAAACTGAAAAAAATATAATGCTGTATTAATAAATTAAATTGCTGGATTTATTTGCACATTTCACATTATAATTCGTTTAGTTTTACATTAAATATATAATGTTTTAATCAGAAGAGACAGCTGGGGTTTATGCTGGCAGATGCAAGAAATCAAAATATCTTACCTGTAACCGAGGTAATATGACATCGCAGACGCGTTCACTATGGAGGAGCTGGTCTATGAATTCATCTACATGCATCAATTCAAAGTCTAACAGAGACAAATATTACAATAAAATGTATGAATTATTAGAGGTTCACAAAGCAGCGCTAAGATAACATGCACATGGCCCTATATAGACACCGGCTGTAATGCAGAAGTCAAAGGTTACCAGAATGAAGCAGAATTATATTAACTGCTCTAATCTGTTTAAAACTAGCAAAAAACGGGAAAGGTGTGCATGGGCAAGACAATACATAAAATAGTAAAATGGGGCCCCCAGCACACTTTCAAGTTAGCCAAAAAAAAAAAAAAAAAGAGGAAAACCCCCCCCAACAAATCAAAAGTTTTTGTCATGGTTTTAACTCAAGTAGTTTAAATAAATTCATTTTTTAAAACACTTACATTTTTTTTTTTTTTTTTTTGCTGGTAAGCTTGAAAGTATGCCAGGGACCCCTTTTATACATTGCCCTTCCCATGTGCACTGTTCCTTTTTTGCTAGTTTTAAACATATCAAACATATCAGAATTACTGCCATATTTGTGGTTTGGGATTTGGTGCAGACAGACTGGAAGTTTTCAGTTGCCTTGTAAAAGAGATGTCTGGGCTTCTCGTGAGTGCCTGTACCTCCAACCGCTTTCTGACACCGTGATGAATATATGTTGCAGGACAGGTGCACATACATGCCCATGGAGGTCCAAGGTTGTATGATGAGAGCACACACACTGTGAAAGGTCTGTCATCATCAACTTAGAATAAATGCTTGCATTGCAACCATGATCAGTGTGTTGTGGGTACAATGCACATACTCCTGCAGAATTCTTACATCAATTCCAGGTCTGTACAGTTACAGAGCTACCATTACAGATCTGAAGGAAGTTAACAATGGACTACAAGTGCAGTGACGCTGCTGCACTTGTGCACCATTGAAATCTATGATACCATCTACTGCAGTAGCAGATGGGACTCGTAGTGTTTTCATTCACAGATCCATTTGAATGGATCTGTGAATGGATGATATGGCTGTGTGTGGCTAATTTAAATTCAAATGAAGACTGCAGGGAAAAGAACCACAAGATTCAGAAGAGGATTGGGGTATGAGGGAGGGAGTTTGGGAACACGACCACCCTAAACATGAGTGTAACAAGAAACATGTTCACAAAAGTGATCTAAGCCTACCTCCCGTCAAGGGCGAGACTTCTGTACTGGAAGTAATATAACACTCTCCAAATAATTGTATGGCCTGCCTAAAAGATGCCCATATCAGTCTACAGCAGCAGGGAGCTTACATGAAACAAAAAAAAAAAAAGCCTTTAGTTTTTGCCGAAACATCAGAGGTCCCTTTAGTTACAGAAGTTATGTTAGAGGTTCAACAAAGGCGTTAGCAGCGACAGCCAATCACTACTGCTATCCAAGACTGCAGGCACGCTCAGCAAACAAACATGTAAATGTGCCCAAAGTAAAAATGTCATGCTTGTAGAAAGATCCTGTCTTGTATCCTCCCATACACTTCTTTTGATTTAAGAAACATTTCCTCAGCTGCTGTGCAGCAATTTGCAGCAATCGCTGCAGGGGTGAACATACTTGGAGACCATCCTATGCAAATTACCTCCATTCCTGTTCTGAACTTTGATTTTCCGATAATCGTTATAAAGGGGCTCAAGATATTTGTAGCAGTCAGTCGCAGTCCCTGTCAGTCTCATGTACAGAGCGCCCAGTGCGCGGACATACCTGCCAAGAAGAATGGGAGGTATACATAAATGAAGCATGCAGGCTTGAGATCAGTGTCCTGCCCTTCACATAGTAAACAATGACCGTTTTTTTTTTTGCTAGGGGTTTCTGCACATTGTCCATTTTCATTTGCAATAAAATGATTTGTACGTACATATAACATGAGCCAACCTCGTTTTAGTCTTTCCACAGAACACTTCAGTACATCATTTTTCTTTTGATAGTGGTCTGTATACTACCTATGCATTTAAAACACTAAAAATTGGAGTAAAAATTAAAAAAAAAAAAATTTAATGTGGAAGACCTATATGTACGCATTAATTCCTAGACCCAAAAATATGACATTTGGGGAAGGGGTGGAAAATATATAGATCTTGAACTGAACGTACATGTTGTAAAATACATTTATAGTGTCTGTGAATAATTTTTTTCTGTTTTGGATAGAGTGAAGAGGGATTAGGAACACCTTTCAGGTTTCTACTACTAGAAGAGAGTCGGCACACAAACCAGTTGACCTCAAGATTTTAATGTTATCATTGTACAATGTACAAATATGCAGAGTAAACCGTAACACAAATGGTTTACTCTGCGTATTTTTGCATTGTTCTTGCAAAATGACCTCATAATGAGGTGAGGTTGAGTGATGGTGCTCTCCTCTACTGGTTGTTCATGTGTCACCATTAGCCGCGCGCTCCCAATACTAAGGAAAATAAAGGGACTGGTGCTGGATGGATTTGTTATGGGGTTTTTACTGCTCTCTGAGGCACTTTTAGGGAGATTCACCCTATCCATTTGTCCTGTTTACCATTATCAAAAGTGAAAGAAATTCCCAAATTTTGGGTTGTTTCCAGAACACTGTCAGAGGAAAAATTTTCCAATTGGATTCCCTAACTTTGGAGGTACTTCATGTCTTGGCTTTAAGGCAGAAAGTAAAGTGAAATCTCCCCAATGTGACCCAAATGGCAAACAAAAAACCTAAACAGGGGTTATAATAGTCCTTTACTTTGTCAAAAAAAAAAAAAAAAAAAAAAAGAAAAAGGGGGGGTTTTCCCTTTAGTTCTGCTTCTCATGGGGATTCCAGCAGAAATTTCCTGCCATCTTTCTGGTACTGATTCCATCCACCATGAAGCAATAGGGCAGGGTTTCTCAACCAGGGTTCCATGGATCCCTAGGGTTCCTCAAGCAATTACTCCCTCTCAGATAAGTTCCCATTGACACCATTGATCTTTTTAGCTATCTGTAAGGAAGGGGGGTAATTCTTCTCAGTTGCCATGATTGTAAGTTTCACCCATTCCACTGACCATCACACTAATGTATCATGAGTTGTACGTACAGCAATTATTACAAGAAGTTCCCTGAGACCGGAAAGTTATTTCAATGGTTCCCGTGTTGAAAAGGTTGAGAAAGTCTGCACTAGGGGATCCCACTATAGGGGAAGGGAGGCCTCAAAATAACCACTTAAATATGTAAACCAGAGAAGTGGTACGTGAGAGAAGAAACTTTAGAGGTTTACCTCCTTTGTAAAAAAAAACAAAAAAAACACAAAAAACACAAGGCTACAATGACCTAAGCTTTAAAGTATAACCAAGAATATAATATATTGCAGTATACCAGTCCTTTGATGTGGTGGTTATTTTCACCTGGTGATTCTGCAAATAACACACTTCCAGTCCTTTTATGGTTACAGTCGATTCTACGTTGTATCTATGGAGGGCAGCCATGGTTGTCACACAAAGGCACATGTCTGCCTTTGTTCACCTCCATGACATGGTAAATTTACTGGATGATTTTTGCTATTGGTATTTTATGTACTTGCTGAAAATGTTCTTAACATGAATAAAGGAAAAGCAATGCAGTCACCATATCTTACTATGGGTAAGCTGCAATATTACATTTTTGTTTTGGGTTTAGACATGCTTTGAATAATGTTCTTGACTCTACACTAAATCTTTCACTTTTATGGATTTTTTTTAAATAATGGAACTCACTAAATAAAATTGCGGGTGCTCTTTTATGGAAAGTAAAGCAAAGACAATGCTGTCCAAATCAACTAGTTCGTTTTTAGCACCTATTTTCTAGACTGACTTAGGAAAATAAAGCATGTATCTCAAATGCTACACACCCTCACCTTACTTTGCTATTACTGACCACCAAAAATGATACTTCGCCACGACATAAAATCAATGCTTTAACCCCCTTCCCACTGACAGTACGAACATATGCAACCTTGCAGAAGCGGGCCTTCATCCGTGGGGCCGCTTATGTGTACCGGTCTTTGTCAGCATGCTCCCAGCATGGACATCGGGCTCTCATTGTAAGCCTTGGGTCCCGTATTAATGACTGGGACCTGGGACTCCAGGTCACCTGATCGCTGTGATAGCCTCTGTTTGGCCATCACAGTGGTCAGTCACTGTGCAGCTCGTCCATGTGTTTTCTTTCTTTCTGAATGGAGAGAGACACATTGTATCTCTCTCTCCTTGCAGGGAAAAAGTAAATAAAGTGTGTAAAAAAAAGAAAAATAACAATTAAAGAAAAATTAGCTAGATCAAAATTTGATCTAGGTCAGTGCCAGGGTTAGTGCTTGGGTCAAAGGTTATTGTTAGTATATTTTGGGCAATATTTAAAAAAAAAACCAAACAGTTAGGGGTTTATTTACTAAAGCTGGAGAGTCCAAAATCAGACTCCCTTTTGCATAGAAACCAATCAGCTTCTAACCTCAGCTTGTTCAATGAAGCTTTGGCAATGAAACCTGGAAGCTGATTGGTTTCTATGCAGAAGGGAGTCTGATTTTGGACTCTCCAGCTTTAGTAAATAAACCCCTTAGTGTGAGTGTGTTTTAGGTAGGATAAAAAAAGCAAAATGCTGACTATTGTTTCTGGGCCCTACTATGGGTATATTCCACAATCATCATATATGTGATATCGCTGCAATTGTCAGGAGCAGAAGAATTTATTTTGAGTTGTTTTTTGGTGGTAGGTTATGGTAGTATCAAGAATTGTAAAAAAAAAAAAAAAATGTTTTGTTACTATTTTGGGGCCGTTTTCCTTTAATAATAATATCAGGATATACCCATTATTTACCACCAAAAGAAAAGTCCAATTTGTCCTGAAAAAAACAAAAAAGGTATAATCCACCTAGATGTACAAAAGTAGTTGCAATGATATGTACTGTTTTACTAACACATGTCAAAGTTGCAAAATTGTGTTCAGGCATTAACATTTGTTTTGCCATTAGTCTAACCCAGTGCTTCTCAATTATTTTCTGTCATGCCCCCCCTAGGAAGAAGAAAACATTTTGCGCCCCCCCGTGCGACTGTAAATAGTAGTATAAAATTGTTATAAGTCTATGCCCCATTGTTCAGTGGGATAAGTTGGTGTCAATAGTGTGCCCCATCGTTGGTGTCAGTGGGAGGAATAGTGCCCCATCGTTGGTGTCAGTGGGAGGAATAGTGCCCCATCGTTGGTGTCAGTGGGAGGAATAGTGCCCCATCGTTGGTGTCAGTGGGAGGAAATAGTGCCCCATCGTTGGTGTCAGTGGGAGGAGGAATAGTGCCCCATCGTTGGTGTCAGTGGGAGGAGGAATAGTGCCCCATCGTTGGTGTCAGTGGGAGGAATAGTGCCCCATCGTTGGTGTCAGTGGGACCCCACCATAGATGCGGCACTATTCCTCCCACTGACACCAATGACACTTGCTGACCCCTGTTGCAGTATGGTGCTGCTGCAGCCAGCATATGTGGTTGCAGCAGCACCTCTGCACTGCACACTTACCGGCTTTTCCTCACTCGATTTTCGTGGGTCCGCTGGGCTCCGCCTCCTCACCCGTGATTGGCCGCCTGTGTACCTTTCCTGAGCTACAGTTCTGGCGGCCAATCACCGGTGAGGAGGCGGAGCCGAGCGGCAGAAGTGAGGGAGTGGCCGGAGTGACGGAAGGAGCAGTGCTTCCTGGATGGATCGTCGTGGGAGCCAGGTAAGAGACTGCAGTCCTCTGCCCACCCCTGTACTTAGTGTCCCTTCTGTCGGGGGGGGGGGGCAGCGGCAGCACCGCGCCGCACCCCCCTTGACGGAGCCTCGCGCCCCACTAATTGAGAGGCACTGGTCTAACCCAAGGTGTTAAAAACCAATGTGTGAGAATAGTCCCTGCAGCAGTGTACCTCTGTATATTTTTACTTGCCAAAAGCCGACCATGATGCAGATTTGTTTTATCCCAAAATTAAAAAATATGTAAGCTTTAGGAAGAACAACTCACTTGAAGTCTTCGTTCTTTATAAACTCCACAATGATGTCTTTCTCTGGCTGAATCTGCAGCATTTTCAGTGCTAGACACAGAAATGGAGTGGGTTTGATGTTCCCGCCAAAAACTCCTCCAATAAACTTCAACTCCATGGCCTTATCAACCACCAGCTCCGCTGTAAACAAACAAGAATGTCAAATGCATTCTTAAAGAGGAACTTCATCCCTTCCCCATTTTTTTGCTTTCTATAATGCCTTTTTACCTCCTATGCTGGTTTGTTCTGAACTCAGAAAATCACCTAATGAGCACATCCAGTGTTGTCTGCTGTGAACCACTGCTCAGGTGCAACAGCTCGGGTCCTGCACAGGGATGTCAAGAGCCTGGCCATCTCATCTGGATCAGGCAGCCAGCCTCAGGCTACTCTGTAGCTCATGCAGCCTTCTGGGTAGAAGGTATGGGGTAAACAATAAAAAATGTTCTATGATTTTGATTGGGACAGGGGAGTAGGGGGCCAGGGATAGGAATGTGCATTCTGAACCAGAATTCCAGCTTAACTTAACCAATCTTAAAACTATCCCCTCCCCCCTACTAGCACCTATGACAACTAGCCTGCGTAAGAAAAATGTATATGCTCACCTATTCTCAGTCTGCTCTGGTTTGGTGATGTGATCCCCTGTGTGAAACAGTGACTGCAGGGGAGGGCAGGGGGGCTCCTTCCTATTCACTGCAGGGGGCAGTGGGGGTCTTCCTATTCACTGCAGGTGCTCCTGGCTGACATAGGGGAGCCAGATTATATGACTGGACCGGAGCAGGATGAAAATAAGTATATACACCTTTCTTACACAGGTTAGTCCACATAGGTGTCATTAAAAGTGACTAATGAAAGGGCTGTCCCATTTCCTGAGACATGTATCCCATCATTTCTACCAAATTGAAATGAGCAGAACTGACATGAGCAGGAAGAGTCTCAAGCTGCAATCCTGTGTGAAGTCTATACAACCGGCGATTTCAGCGTCTTCTTCCAGTAGCGGTGTTCCCTCTTTCCACAGCAACTGAGCTAGCCTTGCGGATCCTTCCTTCCATCATCCACAGCTAGGAGTTTTCTCCCACTGAGACATGCCTCTCACTCTCCGTCACTTACAGGAGTCTATATACTACACTATGTGGCTGCCTGGTGCCCCTCTCTCCTTTCATTTCTTTCTACTTTAGTAGTGAAGGTCTCCTTAAATGCCTTTCATATTTATTTATTTCAGGTACTTATATAGTGCCATCAATTTACGCAGCACTTTACATACTTATATTGTACATTCCCATCAGTCCCTAACCCTCAAGGGGCGTATAATCTAAAGTCCCTAATTCACATTCATACATACACATACTAGGGCCAAGTTAGACAGGAGCCATTTAACCTACCAGCATGTCTTTGGAGTGTGGAAGGAAACCGGCGTACCTGGAGGAAACCCACGCAGTCACAGGGAGAACATGCAAACTCCAGGCAGGTAATGCCGTGGTTTGGATTCGAACCAGCGACCCTAGTACTACCAGGCAGAAGAGATAACCATTTAGCCACTGTGCTATGTATCCAGTGTATTACTTACAGTACATCACACCAGTCTCTGCCCTTCTCACCTGTGATTTTGTGTGTTTTAGGTAAGGTTCTTTAAAAAAATTCCTGCATCTTTGGTGGACTTTCATGAAAAGTACATTATATACAATTCAATGCTAACACATGTAAAACGCACTGCACAGATGTGAACCAGCCCTTAGTGCTTACAATCTAATCTCTGTACCACATCCACACACTCAGAACATACAAACTATATAAATGGATGGCCATTCACGCATTCGTTTTTGTTGTATCCAATGGACTTTCTGATCAAAGCATTTTTTTTTTAATCGAAGGCTGAAAAGGATTGTTTTATTCAGCACCGACAAAAACCTTGCCTGCAAGGATCGGATCGCTATCATCCTGGCTACACCTGTAGCATTCCGATTATACATATAATATACATTGTTACATTGGTGCAAGCTGAACCAATGTACTATGTATAAAATATCCATATCTGTAGTTCTCTTTAACCACTTGCCTACCTGGCACTTTTACCCCCTTCCTGCCCAGGCCAATTTTCAGCTTTCAGCACTGTCACACTTTGAATGACAATCGCGCGGTCATGCAACACTGTACCCATATGACATTTTTATCATTGTTTTCACACAAATAGAGCTTTCTTTTAGTGGTATTTGATCGCCACTGGGTGTTTTATTTTTTGCATTATAAACAAAAAAGAACAGTTTTTCTTTGTTTCTATTATAACATTTTGCAAACAGGTAATTTTTATCCTTCACTGAGGTGCGTTGATGAGGCTGAACTGAGAAGCAGCACTGATGAGATGGAATGGATAGACAGAACTGATAGGCTGCATGATGAGGAGGCACTGATGATGCTACACAGATATGCAGCAATAATGGACACTGATAGACGGCGCTGACGGGTGGCACTGATGATCAGTGCCAGTCTGCTCTGCGACAGCTGCCGGTTATCGGCAGTACTTTCCTCATGCTATGACAACATGAGGAAAGAGCTGTCGATAAAAAGGCAACTGTATTTACTCAGTGATCTGCTGTGTCATTGGACATGGCTGATCACGTGGTGAAAAGCCGCTTGATTGGCCTTTTACCAAATCACGTGATCAGCTGTGTCCGTAGGCGGTAAGAATGTGGTTAATGGACAATGCGACAACATGAAAGGAAGCCAGAGCAGCTGCAGGCAGAGCAAGGCAGAGGCAGCCAGGAGTAGCTGCAGGAATTGCAGACCAGAGAAAGCCAAAAGTAGCAAAAGATTTAGCCTCTTAGGTGGCTTCTGGTCATCTTAAAAATGGTGGCCTTGTCTATTAGTATTGTGCTGTTTGCAACGAACGCGGTGCCTGACCCCCTGCCCTTCTCACCAACTCCTGACAAAGCACTGGCCAATCTCACACCATGCGGTCACTTGCAAAACAATGCCACCCTCAGCTGCACCCTGCACAAAGATTTTCAAGCTTGTGGGACCACCATCTAGGTGCCAGCAGCCCGAGAAACGATTGTCACTGGGTTAATTAAGCAATTAACCCTCTAAATGCCACCACCGCCTTTTTGCAAAGGAGGAAACTCACAATCTTAGCAGTAACATCTATGACTTTAGAATAAACATCTTTATCTTTATAGATAACTGGTATCTTTGGGGTCTCCAAACAAAGGACCAGTTTACTGTCCATCAGACTTTAGGGGGGCCGGACTTCTGGGAGTAGAAATTGTCCTGGTTTTAGGGGGAAGAATAGCGCCCCGCCGCTGGGAGCCAGCTGCAGGAACAGCGCCCCAAGGGCTGGATTAAGGCAAGCAAACACGGCCGCATCCTGCCCCCAGGCTGCAGTTTGGGAACTAAACTTACTAAACAAAGGGCCAGTTTACTGTCCATCAGACTTTAGGGGGGCCGGACTGTTGCTGTTGAGAGTAGAAATTGTCTGGTTTTAGGGGGAGGAACAGCGACCCGCCGCTGGGAGCCAGCCGCAGAAACAGTGCCCCAAGGGCTGGATTAAGGCAAGCAAATGGCCGCATCCTGCCCCCGGGCTGCAGTTTGGGAACCAAACTTTCTAAACAAAGGGCCAGTTTACTGTCCATCATACTTTAGGGGGGCCAGACTGATGCCATTGGGAGTAAAAAATGTCCTGGTTTTAGGGGGAGGAACAGCGCCCCGCCGCTGGGAGCAAGCCGTAGAGAGAAAGCGCCCCGCCGCTGGGAGCAAGCCGCAGAGAGACAGTGCCCCCGGGCAGCAGTTTGAGAACCAAACTTTCTAAACAAAGAACCAGTTTACTGTCCATCAGACTTTAGGGGGCCAGACTGTTGCCATTGGGAGTAAAAATTGTCCTAGTTTAAGGGGGAGGAACAGCGCCCCCGCCGCAGGGACAGCACCCCATCGCTGGGAACAAGCCGCAGGGACAGTGCCCCTGGGCTGCAGTTTGAGAACCAAACTTTTTAAACAAAGGACCAGTTTACTGTCCATCAGACTTTAGGGGGGCCGGACTGCTGCCATTGGGAGTAGAAATTGTCCTGGTTTTAGGGGGAGGAACAGCGACCCGCCGCTGGGAGCCAGCCGCAGAAACAGTGCCCCAAGGGCTGGATTAAGGCACGCAAATGGCCGCATCCTGCCCCCGGGCTGCAGTTTTGGAACCAAACTTTCTAAACAAAGGGCCAGTTTACTGTCCATCATACTTTAGGGGGGCCAGACTGATGCCATTGGGAGTAAAAAATGTCCTGGTTTTAGGGGGAGGAACAGCGACCCGCCGCTGGGAGCCAGCCGCAGAAACAGTGCCCCAAGGGCTGGATTAAGGCACGCAAATGGCCGCATCCTGCCCCCGGGCTGCAGTTTGGGAACCAAACTTTCTAAACAAAGGACCAGTTTACTGTCCATCAGACTTTAGGGGGGCCAGACTGATGCCATTGGGAGTAAAAAATGTCCTGGTTTTAGGGGGAGGAACAGCGCCCCGCCGCTGGGAGCAAGCCGTAGAGAGAAAGCGCCCCGCTGCTGGGAGCAAGCCACAGAGAGACAGTGCCCCATCGCTGGGAGCAAGCCGCAGAGAGACAGTGCCCCCGGGCAGCAGTTTGAGAACCAAACTTTCTAAACAAAGAACCAGTTTACTGTCCATCAGACTTTAGGGGGCCAGACTGTTGCCATTGGGAGTAAAAATTGTCCTAGTTTAAGGGGGAGGAACAGCGCCCCCGCCGCAGGGACAGCACCCCATCGCTGGGAACAAACCGCAGGGACAGTGCCCCTGGGCTGCAGTTTGAGAACCAAACTTTTTAAACAAAGGACCAGTTTACTGTCCATCAGACTTTAGGGGGGCCGGACTGCTGCCATTGGGAGTAAAAATTGTCCTGGTTCTAGGGGGGAACTGCACCCCCGCCGCTGGGAGCCAGCCGGAGGAACAGCGCCCCCGCCGCTGGGAGCCAGCCGGAGGAACAGCGCCCCCCCGCCGCTGGGAGCCAGCCGGAGGAACAGCGCCCCCGCCGCTGGGAGCCAGCCGGAGGAACAGCGCCCCCGCCGCTGGGAGCCAGCCGGAGGAACAGCGCCCCCGCCGCTGGTGTCAGTAGCAGGAAATATACCCCACTGTTGGTGTCAGTGGTAAGAACAGTGTCCCAAGGGCTGCATTAAGGCACACAAAGGGCTGCAGTTTAGATGGTTATACTGGATGAATATTATTATTTATTTTGTTTTGGTTAGAATATCTACCCTGACAGTCTGCGTTTAGGTTTCCTTGCCAATGGACAACAGGACAGTCCAAAAAAAACAACTAAAAGAGGGGAAACAAACCAGCACCATATGAAATAAAGGATCCGCGTTTCCTGGCCTCCTTCTGAACATACCAGCAGCCTGGCTGTGCATTATAGTCTATGCAGTCGCTGAACAGGAACAACATGCCGAGTCCGAGCTGCTGGCTACAAACATCTCCCAGGTCACGGACTGAGAGTGTAGTGCAACCACAGGATCAGCAGAACGGCCGGGCAACTTCTATTTTCAGCAGAGGCCAGCAATGAGCCCCCCGCGAGATACACGTGGTATGGTGTACCCCTTCTACTCACCAGTGAGGCCGAAGCACTCCTCCTTCCAGTACTTGGACTCATAGATACGGGTCCTAATGATTTTCTCCACCAGGTACTGCGGGTTGGTGCCATGGACACTGTGGGCATCTTTCACCGTCCGGTTCGCCATCTTCTACGGAGCCAGCTTCCGGCGCCGGGCGCGTGACTTCATCGAGCAGTGCCGACGCTGCTTCCGGGTACCGCACGTGACGTTTTGCTTTGGTGGCGGGAAAATCTATCCTGCAGTGAGCTGGCAGAGGAAGAGGAGATCGCTGGGGGTAGAGCGGGCCGGGTGAGCTAACATCGGCAGGGCTGTGTAACATGGACCACAGGTCCAGCATGTCCCGGAGCGCCAGTTCTGTATTCGTTCCTAATGATTGCAAAGTGACATGTTTGTACATAACAAAACACGCAGATCTGAAAGCCTGAGCGCATCTTCTACATGGCGCTTCCGGAACCAGCCTCTAAATGTAGTGCTGACATTGGATCCGCATGGCAGCCAGGCAGGGAACATTTTCAGGAGAGGACAGCAATGGCTGCCTGTAGAGGGTGTACCCCTTCTACTCATCAGGGAGAATCACCCCTCATCCTGGTACTCGGACATGTCAGGCAGTGTATTTTATTGCATATTAACCCCTTGAGCTCTGGAAGATTTTACCCCTTCATGACCAGGACATGTTTTGCTATATGGCACCGCGCTGCTTTAACTAGCAATCACGCGGTCATGCAACGCTGTACAAAATTACGTTTGTATTGTTTTTTTTTTTCACACAAATAGAGCTTTCTTTTAGGGGTATTTCACCGCCGGGTTTTTTATTTTTTGCAATATAAATGAACAAAAAAGAAAATTTAGAAAAAAAAATTCCCTTTCTGCTATAAAATGTAACCATTAAAAAAAAAAAAAAATTTGGCTAACATGTATTCTGCTACATGTCTTTGATAAAATCCTAATAAGTGTATATTGATTGGCTTGCATGAAAGTTATAGCATCTACAAACTAGGATATCAAGTTATAGCGTCTACAAACAAGGGTGTGTGTGTATATATATATATATATATTTATATATACTGGAATTTTTTTTATACCAGTGATGGTGATCAACTTATAATGGGACTGCAATAGTGCTGGGGGCAATCTGGCATTAACAACTGCCGACATCACCAGTGACATTAACCGCTTTCCCCCCACCCTATAGTAGAAATACTGTGCAACATCACGCGTTTGTGTTATATATATCGGTGCGTGTGTATATATATATATATATATATATAGTCTGGGTGAAAAAAGACAAAAGTCCATCCAGTTCAACCATAAAAAAAAAAAAGTTTTAATCCTTTACCCACAGTTGATCCAGAAGAAGGCAAAAAAAAAAAACCAGCAAAGCATGATACAATTTGCTCCTGCTGGGAAAAATAATTCCTTCCTGATCCCCCGAGAGGCAATGGGATATTCCCTGGATCAACTTTACCTATAAATGTTAGTATTCAGTTATATTCTGTGTATCTAAGAAACAATCCAGGTCTTTTTTGAAGCAATCCACTGAGCTGGCCAGAACCAACTCTTGAGGGAGTCTATTCCACATTTTCACAGCTCTTACTGTGAAGAAACCTTTCTGTGTTTTGGAGATTAAATTTCTTTTCCTATATACCGTATTTTTCGCTCCATAAGACGCACCTAGGTTTTAGAGGTGAAAAAACAAGAAAAAAAAATATTCTGAACCAATGGACTGCAGACACAGTACAGGGGATGACCAGAGACTGCGGACACAGTACAGGAGATGACCAGAGACTGAGGACACAGTGCAGTAGATGACCAGAGACTGCGGACATAGTGCAGGAGATGACCAGAGACTGCGGACATAGTGCAGGAGATGACCAGAGACTGCGGACACAGTGCAGGTTGACCAGAGACTGCGGACATCAGTGCAGGGGTATGACCAGAGACTGCGGACACAGTGCAGGGGATGACCATAGACTGCGGACACAGTGCAGGGGATGACCAGTGACTGCGGACACAGTGCAGGGGACTGACAAGAGACTGCGGACACAGTGGCAGGGGATGACCAGAGACTGCGGACACAGTGCAGGGGACACCAGAGACTGCGGACACAGTGCAGGGATGACCAGAGACTGCGGACACAGTGCAGGGATGACCAGAGACTGCGGACACAGTGCAGGGGATGACCAGAGACTGCGGACACAGTGCAGGGGATGACCAGAGACTGCGGACCAGTGCAGGGGATGACCAGAGACTGCGGGGACACAGTGCAGGGATGACCAGAGACTGCGGACACAGTGCAGGGGATGACCAGAGACTGCGGACACAGTGCAGGGGATGACCAGAGACTGCGGACACAGTGCAGGGAATGACCAGAGACTGCGGACACAGTGCAGGGATGACCAGAGACTGCGGACACAGTGCAGGGATGACCACAGAGACTGCGGACCAAGTGCAGGGAATGACCAGAGACTGCGACACAGTGCAGGGAATGACAGAGACTGCGGACACAGTGCAGGGGGATGACCAGAGACTGCGGACACAGTGCAGGGGATGACCAGAGACTGCGGACACAGTGCAGGGGATGACCAGAGACTGCGGACACAGTGCAGGGGATGACCAGAGACTGCGGACACAGTGCAGGGGATGACCAGAGACTGCGGACACAGTGCAGGGGATGACCAGAGACTGCGGACACAGTGCAGGGGATGACCAGAGACTGCGGACACAGTGCAGGGGATGACCAGAGACTGCGGACACAGTGCAGGGGATGACCAGAGACTGCGGACACAGTGCAGGGGATGACCAGAGACTGCGGACACAGTGCAGGGGATGACCAGAGACTGCGGACACAGTGCAGGGGATGACCAGAGACTGCGGACACAGTGCAGGGGATGACCAGAGACTGCGGACACAGTGCAGGGGATGACCAGAGACTGCGGACACAGTGCAGGGGATGACCAGAGACTGCGGACACAGTGCAGGGATGACCAGAGACTGCGGACACAGTGCAGGGGATGACCAGAGACTGCGGACACAGTGCAGGGGATGACCAGAGACTGCGGACACAGTGCAGGGGATGACCAGAGACTGCGGACACAGTGCAGGGGATGACCAGAGACTGCGGACACAGTGCAGGGGATGACCAGAGACTGCGGACACAGTGCAGGGGATGACCAGAGACTGCGGACACAGTGCAGGGGATGACCAGAGACTGCGGACACAGTGCAGGGGATGACCAGAGACTGCGGACACAGTGCAGGGATGACCAGAGACTGCGGACACAGTGCAGGGGATGACCAGAGACTGCGGACACAGTGCAGGGGATGACCAGAGACTGCGGACACAGTGCAGGGGATGACCAGAGACTGCTGACCTTTGGGTAGGGAGGGGGAGCGGGTACCTGAATTTGACAGGTACCCGCTCCCACTTCCGCGGAGTTGCCTTCCCTCTTCTTCCCGGGCCAGCTTCTGTGACAGTCGAGTGCCCACTGCGCATGTGCGAGAAGCTCTGCGCTTTGTGAATGGCCCGGCGCCTTCTGGGACCTTTCATGTGTCCCAGAAGACACCGGATCATTCACAAAGCGCAGCACATGCGCAGTGGGCACCCGGCTGTCACAGAAGCCAGCGCGGGAAGACTGCAGCGCTGGAGCGAGGAACAGGTAAGGCCCTGCAGGAGACAACAGCTGAGCGGCCGGCCCGGTATTCTGACATGGTGGCCGCAAAAATATCGGACCGGCCGCTTTATATTCGCTCCATTATAGTCGCTTCCTTTTTTGGGGAAAAAAGTGCGTCTTATGGAGCGATAAAATATGGTACATATATATGAATTTGCATTTTTGGGGTAGGGGGCCCACGCCCTACCAATGCCGCCATTGACGGCCTCACCTGTCGATCACAGGGTCCTGGCCGGTGACTCCCCGCCAGCACCCGTGATTGCCGTGTATCACCGACGGGGGAGAGACCTGTATGTAAACAATACAGATCTCTCCCCTGTCAGCTCTAGCACATTGCTTTGTATGACTCTGTATAGCAGAGCCATACAAAGCAGCTTGCTTACACAGTAAAACACATACAGCACACAGTTAACTCTTTGATCACCTCAGATGTCAACCCCTTCCTGCCCAGTGCCATTAGTACAGTGTGAGTGCCTTTTTATTAGCACTGATCACTGTATTGGTGTCACTGGGGATGTCAGTGACAGTCAGTTCCCCTCTAGTGTCAGAATGCCCGCCGCAGTCCTGCTATAAGTTTCTGCTTGCCGCCATTACTAGTATATAAACACCCGGAAGAAGGCAGGGACGTACGGGTCTGTTGCTTTGCCTACTGCGGCCTCCTGTCTGCAGTATGTGGCGGACGGTCATGAAGTGGTAAAGTAGTGCTAAATGCAAATTTTTTTTTTTTTCTCTTCCATTTTGGATAGAGTAAGGAAGGGTTGTAATCCCCTATCAGTTTTTGCCATCTGCATCCCATTGGGGAGATTTCTCATCACTTCCTGTCCCATAGCCACAATAGGCAGTGAGAGGTAATCCCTGATTGTCTCTAGAACTAGTGTCCCCATTGGAAGACATCCCCTCTATTACCGTTTTGGTGACAACCAAAACTTTGTGATTTTCTTTTTGGGATTTTTTCACTTTCAAGGACAACTGTAAACTGGACAAATAAAGAGGGTGCATTTTTTGAATGGGGACATAGACAGCAATAAAAACCAGATACATGTTCTAATCCATCTCCACTCTATCCAAAACTAAAAAAAAAAGTTAGTTTTACGTTACTTGGCATAAACTAAAGGAAGGGGGTGGGACTTTTATATGTTGTGTGCTTGTTTAGGGTTAGGATTGTAAAATTACTTCCAGGCAACTGGCATTTTCAGGATGATAGCCTACCTTGGTAAACGTTCTCCCCCCATTCACACCTATGGGATTTATAGTGCTTCTGCCATCACATGACAGTAGAAGAAATCACATTGTTCTCTATGGGGCTCATACTACTACTCTTGAAAAGGTGCAGCTGCCCCATATACTTCAATGGCAATGTATTGAGAATGTATTTTATGCAGACCAAGCAGTCTCCTCCTCCTGGCAACATCTAATCTATCCCGGCTGCAGATAAAATCGAGAGAGCAGGCCAGAC